GACTGCCTTCGGCTTGGGTCATGATCCTGGAGTCCCGGGATCGAGTCCCACATCGGGCTCCCTGCTCAGCGGGGAGTCTGCTTCTCCCTCTGACCCTCCCCCCCTCTCATGTGCTCTCTCTCTCTCTCAAATAAATAAAATCTTTAAAAAAAAATAAAAATAAAAAAAATAAAGCTACACATTTTAGGGGAGGCTGTGGCTCAGTCGGTGGCTCAGTCGGTTAAGCATCTGCCTTTGGCTCAGGTCATGATCCCAGGATCCTGGGATCGAGCCCTGCGTCAGGTTCCCTGCTCAGCGGAGAGCCTGCTTCTCCCTCTCCCTACCTCTCTGCCTACTTGTGCTCTCTATCTCTCTGTCAAATAAATAAATAAATAAATCTTAAAAAAAGAATAAGGGGCGCCTGGGTGGCTCAGTCGTTAAGCGTCTGCCTTCAGCTCAGGTCATGATCCCAGAGTTCTGGGATCGAGCCCCGCGTTGGGCTCCCTGCTCGGCAGGGAGCCTGCTTCTCCCTCTCCCACTTCCCCTGCTTGTGTTCCCTCTCTCGGTATGTCTCTGTCAAATGAATGAATAAAATCTTTTTAAAAAATAAATAAAGCCACACATTTTAGAGCGCCTGGGTGACTCAGTTAAGCATCCAGCTCTTGGTTTTGGCTCAGGTCATGATTTCATGGGTTATGATCTCATGGGTCGTGAGCTTGAGCCCCTCATCTGGCCCCACTCGCTCATGCACTCTGCACTCTCTCCCTCTAAAATAAATAAATCTCTAAAAAATAAAAAATAGTAATAATAAAGCTACACATTTCATGCTAACATTGTTTAAATGCATCTCACAAACTCATATTTTCATTATCGGTTCCACATATTTTCTAATTTTTCTTGAGATTTTTGTCTTTGAGCTATGAATTATTTAGAAGTATATAATTGTATTTCCAGATACTGGAGGTTTTCCTAGTTACTTTATTGTCACTGATTTCTTTTTTTTTTTTAAGATATATTTATTCATCTTAGAGAGAGAGCATGAGCAGGAGAGGGAAGGGGGAGAGAAAATCTCAAGAAGAACTCCGCACTGAGTGCAGAGCCCGACATAGGGCTCGATCTCAAGACCCCGAGATCACAACCTGAGCTAAAACCAACAGTCAGACACTTAACTGACTGTGCCACCCAGGCACCCAATTGTCACTGATTTCTAACTTAATTCTGTTGTATTCAGAGAATATACTTTGTACGATTTTAATTCTTGTAAATTTATTGAGACTTGTTTTATGGCCCAGTATATGACCTATCTTGGTCAGTGTACCATGTGCACTTGAAAATAATGCATATTCTATAGTTTTGGGATGCAGTGTTCTATAAATGCCAATTAGATCAAGGTGGCTGATTATGTTGTTCACATCTCCTATGTCTTTACTAATATTTTGTCTAGTTAGTCTATCAATTACTTAGATAGTATGTTAAAATATTCTACTATAGGAACGCCTGGGTGGCTCAGTTGGTTGAGCATTCAACTCTTGGTTTTGGCTCAGGTCATGATCTCATGGGCCATCAGACTGGGCTCCATGCTCAGCGGGGAGTCTGCTTAAAGATTCTCTTCCTCTGCCCCTCCCCACACACACACGTGCATGGAATCTCTCTAAAATAAATCTTTTAAAAAATATCCTACTATATTGAGGAATTGTCTATTTCTCCTTCTGTCAATTTTTGCTTCATATATTTTGAAGCTCTTATTACACAAAACACATTTATAATTGATATGCTTCTGTGATGAACTGTTCACCATTATGATGCAGACCCTTTATATGTGCTCTTAAAGTCTGTTTTATCTAATTTTTTTTTTTAAGATCTTTATTTATTTATTTGACAGAGAGAGAGAGACAGCGAGAGAGGGAACACAAGCAGGGAGAGTGAGAGAGGGAGAAGCAGGCTTCCCGCCGAGCAGGGAGCCTGATGTGGGGCTCAATCCCAGGACCCTGGGATTATGACCTGAGCCAAAGGCAGACGCCTAACGACTGAGCCACCCAAGTAACCATACCAGCCTTCTCATACTTCTGTTTGCATATTATATCTTTTCCCATCCACTTACTTTCAACCTACATGTCTCCTATAGCCAGCCTATTGTAGGAATTTGCTTTTTACCCATTCTAGCAATATCTGCCTTTGAATTAAAGTTTTTAAGACCATTTACATATAATCATTGTACTGGCTGAATTTGGGCCCACTATTCTTATTATTTGTTTTCTCTTTGTGTTCTTTATTTTCCTTCCTTTTCTCCCCCTTTCCTGCCTTCTTTTGGATTATTTCTATTGTGTTGGTGATTACTCTAAAAACTACAGTATGTACTCTTGATTCATCAAAGCCCATATTAATCAATACTTTTACCACAGTTTCCTTCTGCCTGAAGAATACCCTGTAGAATTTCCTTTAGTGCTGATCTGCTGTGGCACATGCTCTCAATTTTGTGTTTATCTAAAAATGTTTTCATCATCTTGCCTTCATTCTTGAAGGATCTTTTTGCTGGGTAGAGACTTCTAGAATTGCAGTTTTCTTTCAGTATAGCAAAAATGTGATTCTACCCTTTTCTGGTTTCCATTGTTGCTGTTCAGAAAGAAGCTGTTAGTTTACTTCAGGTGTTGGCAAATTATGACCCCTGGGTTAAATTGGGCCCAACACCTGTTTTTGTAAATACAGCTTTACTGGAACACTGCCACAACCATTCATCTAAGTATTCCCTATGGCTGGTTTTGTGCTACAAGGGCAGAATTGAGAGATTAAACAGGTCATATGCTGCTAGCATAAAGACAAACAGACCAATGGTCTAGAATAGAAAGGCCAGAAACAAATGCTCACTTAGAGGGTCAGATGATCTTCCACTAAGATGCTAAGACCACTCAATGGGGAAAGGACAAATGGTGCTGGGAAAACTGTATATCCACATGCAAAAAAATGAAGTTGGACCCTTATCTTACATCATGTACAAAAATTAACCAAAATGGACTAAAGGCCTAAGTGTAAGACCTAAACTATAAAACTCCTGGAAGAAAACACAGAGGAAAAACTTCATGACATCGGAGTTGGCAATGATTTCTTGGAGAGGACTCCAAAAGCACAGGCAACAAAAGCAAAAAAAAAACCAAAACACCCCAAAAAAACAAATGGGACTACATGAAACTTAAAAACTTTTATGTATCCAAGGATACAATCAACAGAGTGATTGTGAGTAGAATATTAGCTACATTAATTAATGTATGACCTTATTGTTTCTCTTTGTGAACAAGTTACTTATCCTCTCCAAGCCTAAATTTCCTAATCTTTAAAGTGATGACAATACCACTTTCAATGTTTGTTTATGGCATAAAAATGGGTATACAGTAAAAATTAGTTCCTGTCCTTTTCTAAATTGCCTTCAAAGTCTATGCCATTGTCTTAAACATTTTCAGTGGTGAGAAATCTTAATCTTTCATCATGGATTGGGCCATATATTCAACTAAAAGTGACTGTACAAGCTGAGTTTAATAAATAAGATGAGTGATCTAGATAGCTCTTCATCTAAAAGGTGTTTTGCAGAAAGAACCCTATGAGCCTGAGCAAGATCTTGATCATATCACTATTAGTTTACTTTTTGGAGAATTTCAATTTTTCAATTTTTATAAGCTAAAATGATTGTCTGACCTTAATGCTACCTGGATTGCATGCTTCTGTCATGCATACAATTTGAGAATATTAAATTTGGCCACTGGAGACTTCGATGACTTGTTTTTGGATCACATAAAGAAACATGTTTTATTAGATGTTACTATTTTCTTTAAAAATGGTTTTGTCGGGCACCTGGGTGGCTCAGTTGGTTAAGCAACTGCCTTCAGCTCAGGTCATGATCCTGGAGTCCCTGGATCGAGTCCCGCATCGGGCTCCCTGCTCCCCTCTCATGCTCTCTCCATCTCATTCTCTCTCTCAAATAAATAAATAAAATCTTTAAAAAAAAAATGGTTTTGTCCAAACGCCTTAGAAACCGCAGAACAGCAGAACAGGGGCGCTTGGGTGGCTCAGTCGGTTGAGTGTCTGACTCTTGATTTTGGCTCAGGTCATGATCTCAGGATCATGAGACTGAGCCCCGCGCCAGGCTCCATGCTGAACATAGAGCATGCTTAAGATTCTCTCCCGCTGGTGTGCCTGGGTGACGCAGTTGGTTAAGTGTCTGACTCCTGGTTTCAGCTCAGGTCGTGATCTTGGGGTGGTGAGATGGAGCCCCGTGTCGGGCTCTGCACCCAGCACAGAGCCTGCTTGAGACTCTCTCTCCCTCTGTCCCTCCTGCTCATGCTCTCTCTCTCTAAAATAAATAAATCTTTAAAAAAAACTCTCTTCTCCCTCTGTCCCTCCCCCCACCACTTGTGTCCACTCCCTCTCACTCTCCCTAAAAAAAATTAAAATAAATAAATGAAATAGTAGAACCAACTCTATGTGCCTAAAACAATAATTAATTCTGAGTTCTTACAAATCACAAGAAAAACAATCCCACTGATACAAAGTCATACTTTATACTATCTTTATAATGTGCTCAGGATAATTTCATTAATGACCATCTAATTCTTTTCTGCCACAATTTAAGCATATCACCTCTTGTCCTACAGTCTGTTAATAAGAGAACAAGTACATCAATAATTACAAAGTCTTTGGCAACTGAAGCAGCTATTAAATCACCCTTCATCCTTGCCTTCTCCAAGTTAAATAACCCAAATTCCTTTGCTTTTACTTAATATGTTCTATCTCTTTGAAAGCTCAAATTTGCAATAGTAGGAAAACACCTGCAATACTAGGAAAATAACTTTTACATACTTTACACGGACAATTAAGAAAACATATAGAGTTAGAATTACAGTTATGTAAAAAAGCAATGTGGTAAATATATTTACGAATAAAAAATGAAGACTCAGAAAAAAACTGTCATTCATATATTAATTCTACACCATGGTTCTAATTCTAGTATTCTAGAGCACAATAATCCTTACCAGGGGACTTTCCTTGCTGTGAGTTGCTTCTTCGCTCTCTGTATCTGGCTGGAGTGGATAAACCTGCGTCTTTACTAGGCTTGCTAGCAGGCCCCATTTCTGAAATAAGGAATCCCATCTGTTCTGAAGGCAAGATATTCTCAGGTGGATTGGTCAGGCATTTTATACTGGCATCCACCTAAAATATTAAACCCACTCATTATTCTGAATTTACCCCAAATATCTACTAAAAGTTAAGATATTTTATCAGAGGAGTTCTATTACTGAAACATGATCCAACAAACATACCTGTAAAAGGCTTTTCATTCTTATGAGTGATACTACCTTTGATTTTGTTGAACTAATCTGAATATTCAGTAGTAGGATATATATTTCCCCATGCACAAACCATTGAAATATATATGGAGTTAAAACATTTACTTATGATCAGAGGAAGATTAACCATGAAGCTTGTTGGATTTTTTTTTTTTTGAAAAATTCACACACACACACAAATTTACAGTTGGTTAAGACCCCTATCTTTTTCCACTCTAGTATCCCTTTCATCAGATTTCCACCTCCGTTGGTAATATTGAAATGGTCACTGGCATAATCCTGTTGATGTCAGTGGAGCTGAAGACACTTTATTCTACTAATTTTGTATTCTTTGTCTTAAAGAGGTCCTCAAAATTGTATAACCTTTAGCCCCTATAAAATCTAGATCTGTTCTGCTTATGAGTTTGGAGTTCCTAAGTTTTCTCTGGAATGCAAATCCCTTCATCAAGGTGACCAACTTCTGAACTACTCTTATTTCTTTGAATTTATTTTAAACAAAACTATATAATGAAATAAAGCTAAAAGTTAAAAACATAGCTTTTAAAAAAAGCTCTGATGTTCAAATATATTTTTTAAAGATCTTGAAAGTAATTATATGAATGCAATTTTAAGGTATGAAATCTAATATTTTGGATGTGACTATGAAGGAACAAAGACAAATTTTATGTTCTTTCCACAATCATATTTGAAACACAATGGCCTATCTTTGGTCTACTGAATTTATAATTTATATTTATTATTTTAACACACGATATACTGGGTCTCAACAGTTGGTCTCAAAAAGGACAATAAGTTGATAGATACCTTAAGACATGTGGATCTAAAATTAGAGCTTAAAAAAATGTGTTAAAAAAAACACAACTGTCCAAAAGTTATCTTGGGAATCTAACAGTGATGATATTTTCAGTCCCATTAAAGAAAAAAATCCAAAATTTAATATATATATGGCTAAGATCAAGAAAAAAATAAAAGTAGGAAAATACAAGTTAATTCACAAAAAGTGATTTTAATTTAGGTGTACTTTTATTTAGAATCAAACTTTATTCATTTTCTGGTCATAAACCAGCAGCAATAAAGGAATTAGCTTCTACCTTCAGAAAATGTCGCTCAAACGAGAGTCAGAATTCTGCTTTAAGAATGTAGGTAACAATAACAAAAAGAATGTAGATATTAGTAATGAAATTCAAACATAGTATGCTCATAAGATAAATGTGAATTCAATAATGCTGTAAGAAAGTATGAAAAGACCCCTAACCATCTCCTTACCTCCATGCTACAAATGGCTAGGAAAGTCCTGATATTATCTGCCAGATAAACCATCCTTTCTGAGTAGTGGATTTTAATCAGCCAGGCACACCTAGTCCATCCAAATTAAGATAGGAAGCAAAACTCAAGGGATGCTTTTAACATGAAAATAAGGTCTATACCACAATGCTCCTACTGCCTCTCTAGAGGTTGACTTCAGACCATAACACAGTAAAAAGATGTCTGGGGTTTAAGGTTACTTCTTTCTGAATTTTTCGTGCAGAATCACTGGGACATGATCCTTCTGGAAAGCATAATGGGAGCACCTGGGTAGCTCAGTCAGTTAAGTGTCTGACTTTGGCTCAGGTCATGATCTCAAGAGTCCTGAGATCAAGCCCCATGTCAGCCTCTGCACTCAGCGTGGAGTCTGCTTGTCCTTCTGCCTCCCCCCACCCCTTGTTTGGGCTCTGGCATGTGCGCTCAGAGTCTCAAATAAATAAAATTAAAAAAAAAAAAAAAGAAATCATAATGAACTGGTAATAAACCCAAATAAAATGTGAACAAACTCTTTATTAGAATGGTCTTTAGCAAGAAGCACTAGGTACTTTGAGCTTTTTTAGGACTTTTTTCTTTGCCTTACCTGGTGTGTGCTGAATGGTAGCCCTTCCTGCACAAATACTACTGAAGATGGAGATGGATTATGACTTAGCTGCTCCTTCAGTTTGACATGAGCTTGTTGGATGGCTGCAGATTCCTGCATTGTAGTATTTTCAACAGGCTGAGCTGTGTGGATGGTATAGATGTACTCAGGTGACTGTGGTAGAGAGCAGGTAATTGCTTGTTCTGCTCCGACTACAAAAGATGTAATATCTGAGCCTACAGGAGTAAGTGGCTCCAGCTGGCTAGCCTGACTTGTGGAAGATGGATTGCTGTTGTTTGAATTAGCTAGGATATGTTGGCCTCTGTTAGACTGAGATGTTGGGCACTGATTCTCAACAGGCTCCACCTTCACCATCTCCAATTTAGGGGAGGAATGCAACTCATCTACTATCTGAAAAACAGCCTCTAGGTTTACTTCTGTCTTTTTATTTTCATCAGTAGCACTGCAAGGCCAATTAGAAGGCAGAAATTCAACTGGATAGGAGGATTGCATTGGAGGATTCTGGGAAAAGAGAAAATAGGACTGTTTGGATAGAAAATTGAATATGAGATTAAGGAGGAAAGCAACAATGTTTAGGCTGATAAATGTTAAACAAATAGATTAAATTTTAACTAAAGCTCACTAAGAAAACTTGAACACCAATCAACTTTTCAGCAACGGTAGCTTCAATTCTATTGTTAACATTTACTTAGCCACTGATATATGTCAACCACTACGCTAAGTTTAATACTGGAAAGGACCAATAATTCTCAGGGTTAAAGTATACAAAATCAAAAAGCCATAGTACCCAAATACCTATTTGCTGATAAAATGTCTATACACCCAATTCTTCCATAAAAGTTGACAGACAAAAACATCACTTATATCTATCATATACTATTTTAGGAATGTAGTAAGGAAATTTCAAACACAGGATGCTCACAAGTCCACCAATGCTTCTATAGATTCAGGGGGAGGTACTGATATTCTGTTCCAAATGATCTGGGAAAAAATGGATGGAATATCGAATGTCCTTTGGTTCCTGAGATTGTTTATTTTTAATAATAAAACAATAGATTTTAAAAAGCTCCCACTCTTAGATGTATTCTTTATATCTTTAAGATGTATTCTCTTATACATAGTACTTTGCACAGAGTAGGCATTCAGTTACATGTTTGATGATAAATAATCTCAAGCTATGAATATAAAATACTGAAGAGTAATAATTAAATAAAACATGTAATAGGTTGATGTTGCCGAATACACAACAAAGACTGCGTCAATTATTCAAAGGACATTAATGCCAAATAATGTAAATTTAAATGGTTTAAGCATCAAGCCACTCAATAAACGGTTTATTGAGTTTGAGTTCTTACTATGTGCCATTTATTTATTGAGTTCTTACTATGTGCCAAGCACATGCAAAGTACTTTATATACATTATTCCATTTAATCCTCTCAAGAGGCCTATAAAATGTGATCATCTCCATTTCCAAATGATGAAACTGAAGTTCAGAGAAACTGTGTAATTTACCCAAAGTCACAATGAAATAACTGACAGATCCAGGTTTCAAGCATAGGTTGCCTGACTTAAGAGCTCTTGCTCTTAACCTTTACACTATAATGGTCATTCATGCACACTCTCACCAATACCTGTGATGCAACTAAACCAACTGCATTTATTTCCAGAATCACACCTAAAATATATTCTTTTTTTCATTTCAAAAATGTTATGTCTACCTATCTTTATTTTCCTGTAACAAACATGTATTGTCTTTCTAGTAAGGATATTTCTAAGGATATGTTAAATAATTTATTTAAAACATAAACATAATCAAGATATAAACACCATCAGAGTATCTCCAGTATGATCCAAGGGAGAGAGTGTCCGGATCCACAAACAAAAGCATCTAATTTGTGGGACAGACATATCCCTCTAGTGAAGATGAACAGATTGGACTATCATGCTTGATGGTACCTGCCATTAAAAATGTCCAAATAAGTCCCTCTGATCTGATTCTACGCTCTTCAAACAACAATCTGATTATAATTTGACATCCCATGTAATTTTCTCAAAACAACAACAACAACAACAAAAACAAATGAATGTTTCTTTCAGTTCTGGCATGCCACTAGTAAGATATTCTCTTAAAAACAGAAGCTATCTCAACTACATGATATCAAAGGCAAACACATAATTCCAATCTTTAAGCAATTACAGCATAAAACTACAAAGCATGGAATTTAATCTTATCCTAGAAATAGCAGTCTAAAACATTTAAATCAACACAATTGCTCCCCAATAAATAGTGAGAAAATAATTGAAGTATAGTATTTACAATATGGGGGCAAAAAGGGATCACCACTTAAATTTCTCATTTTTATTTCACTTTTCCTTTCTCATTAAAAAAAGTAATTATCTGTATCATCTTGGAAGAAACTGTCATTTGGTGACTTATATACTTTTAAAGTTTATCTGATACTCATTTTACCATAGAAGAACGTAGAACAGCAATGCTCAAACTTTCCACAATGATGAAAATGCTCTCTGTGCTGTACAGTTTGGTAGCCACTAGCCATATGACACTTTGAACACTAGAAATGAATTTTAGATTTTATTTCATTTTAATTAAATAGCCACATGTAACTAGTGCCTATTGTTTTGGACACTAGTGCTTATTGTTTGGATGTCGGAATCCTCAGACATCATTTCTATCAACTCCCTCTTTTTTAGAACTGAGAAAACCGAAGCCGTAATCCACAGCTTACCTCTGGCTACTCATTAAGATAAAATTATACTTTAAAACTGTGCAGGGTCAATCATACTCCCCGTCAAGTACAGAGTGTGTCCACCGTTCCAAGAATCTTACCTGGAAGTAGTTGCAGTGTGCATAGGAAGAGGCAGTGGGGGTGACACAACTACTCAGCGCGTCCATGTGGGTAGAAGGAGAGCAGCACTGTAGCACAGCTGGGACAAATTCAAACAGAGAGAAGTCATCAACCACAAGTAACCTCTGCAGCATTTAAGGCACTCCCCTCTTTCAACTTGGAAAGAAAAATTCCAAAAGTTTTCCTTTGTGGATGCAATAAAATTATACTTAGTCCGATTCGGTGCTATTATTTATTGAAAACAACATGGCAATACACTAATGTAAAAAATCATTTTAAAGGGTCATGTCTACTTTTCTAAATGATTTCTTTAGCACCTAAACATTTTGTTACCTTTCTAAGCATTTATTCTTATTGAAACTAATTTCATTTTACTGAAAATATCAGAACATATGTGGAATTCCAAAATAATTGTTTCAATCATTTTAACAGTAACAAACATTTGGAGGAGGGTGTGTTTTAAGGATAAAATAAGTGAAATACTCTCCAAACATTCCTACCATTATACAATGCATCTAGTAAAATCCAGACAAAAATGTTTTAACCATTTAAACATGGTTAAGAATTCGAATCTAAGAGCCAGACTGTCTGGCTCTGGAGCCCAGTTCCGAAATTTTAAGAGCTGTATGAACTTGAGCAAGGTTAACCTCTTTGGGCCTCAGTTTCTGCAGCTTAATAAAATAGGAATAATAATAGTACATACCCTACTATGTTTGTTGTGAGGAATGAATGAGTTAATATGCATAAAGCACTTAGAATAGTACTGGCATACATTAGGCAACGAAAAAATAAAAAGCTAATGCTGCTATTATTTTAACTAAAGAAGTATATTTTCCACGCTTTCTCTTTATAGTTAGGATACCATAAAAAGATTAACTCTTTGTACTGGGATAGTTATACTTACAGATGCAGTCTTAATAATAGGTTGAGTCTCCTCTTTTCCAGAGAGAGACTCTCCAGAACGAATGAGAATCAGTTATAATACATCACACCTTTGGATTAAACAGAGGATGACATTTATTGAGCACCTACCATGTTCAGGCACAGTACTAGGTGCTTTACATATATTGCTTCATTTAATCCAAACAACAATTGAATGAGGTATTAACATTACTTTACAAAATTAAGGAAACTAAAGCTCAGAGATGTTAAATAATTTGCTGAAAGTCACAAAGCTAATAGTGACAGAGATAGCAATCAAACTTCAAAGCACATGCTCTTTAATGTACAATACTTCCCTAATCTTTCCTTCTTCCTAAAATGTAACATTTTAATTTTACTAGAACTCCACTTGATGAATATATTTTTAAGTTGTCTTTACTATAAGGTGGCGACTTTCTATGTCCACATTTTTGTGTATGCTAATAAAATTACTAAACAATCTTATTCTATGATCTTTGAAAGTAAATTAGCCTAAGGATTATAAAAATTCATTGCAATGTTTCCCTATTTCTCTATTATTGACTACTGATTTTTAAAATGTCAGAAGTTCATGAAGGTATACTAGAAATAATTATTCTTCTAATATCATGTGCAATTTAAGCCATTAAATTTTGCACATGGAAGGAAAAACTTGAAATAATGGACAAAATTCTACTTTAGATTCACATGTAAGGGTTGATGTTTTCTGAATTACATCATTTTAACAATTCCAGTGATTAAAAAAGTCAGACATTACTAAGATGGCCACATAAAATTCATGCTCTTATCACTTCCAATATAGGTTAGGTAAGCAGGTTCTTACACTTTAACCTTTGGAAATTATTCACATACACAATTTCAATGTTTTGGATTTGAATTTGATTTCCCAGAATATTTGAAAGCATAAGTATCCTGGGAAAGAACTTAAAACCAAAAAGGAAAACACCAAGGAGGGGTCTGCTGGGTTTGCCAAAACTCTGGAAAAAAAAAAAAAAACGGACATTTTTCTAGAGTTTTAACAGCTAAGGAAAACCTAGCCCCCTAGTGGCAAGAAAAGACCCAGTCAGGAGCTGCAGGTTTTCACTCATGAGGGTACCATGAAATAGTATTTTGTTACAAATTAAACAACAAAAGGTATTAGGTTTACTTTTCTGATATTGTTCTGATTCCATTGCTTACACATTTTAAATAGTCATTAAAGTATACTTTAAAATAAATTTCTTGGATAAATAAAGTAAAATATACAACAGAGAGCATATTAATATATAGCTGATAGCTGATTTGGTATCTAAGGAAACAGCAAAATGGTGAATGTCCTTTTAAGTTTCCAATAACAAATGGAAAGTGGAAAGCTACCTGCAAAGGGGGACGTGAATAGATAATCCAAAAAGATTCCTCAGTGGCTATTTCCTTACCAGTGCAGTCAGACTTTGTACAGTCAACAAAATAGAACACGGTAAGATACTAGTAAGTTTACCGAATTATGAAAAACCTAGCTATAGAAATGCAGCTGTGTGCTTAATATATGACAAATTAACCCAGTTATATTATGAAAGCATTGTGAAAGCACTGCCATTTATAAAACTAAGTTTATCACTATATCCTAAGGCACATTCATCTGCATAAAGATCTTCCACTGCCTTCCTGAAGGCAGTATTCACTTAAGGCATTAAATTGCACGGAGAATGAAAAACTGGAAATAATGGACAGAATTCTATTTCAGATGTCAATATAATAGTTAATGACATTTTAAAAAACAATTCTGGTAATTAAAAAAACCCAGGAGTAGGAGTGCCTGGGTGGCTCAGTCGGTTGAGTGTCTGCTCGGGTCATGATCCCAGGGTCTCGTGTAGGGCTCCCTGCTCGGTGGGAGGCCTGCTTCTCCCTCTCCCTCTACCCCTCCCCTGCTTGTGCTTGTTCTCTCCCTCCCTCCCGCCCATCCCTCTCTCTCCCTCTCTCTCTGTCAAATAAATAAAAATAAAAATCTTCAAAAAAAAAAATCCAGGAGTACTAAAAGTTATCTAATGGTAAAAATTTTCATTCCCACTATAGGTTAGGAAAACAAGTTCATACTCTTCTATCCTATGGAGGTAATTCAAATATATAATTAAAATGTTTTAGACTTGAATCTACTCCAGAATAGCACAGTGACAACAGTGAGAAAATCCCCAATATAAATGCTCAACAGGAAAAATATCTTAATAGTAAATTTAGTTTCAAGATAAGTTACCATACATCTAAAACCCCAATACTTCCTCACTTATAGTAGGGTAAAGATCTTCTGGGCATATACCCAAAAAAAGTGAAGGCAGGCCCTCAAATATATAATATATATATTATATATTTGTGCATCCATGTTCACAGCAGCATTGTTCACAATAGCCAAAAGGTGGAAGCAACCCAGGGTCTATCAATGGATGAATGGATAAACAAAACGTGGTACATACATACAATGGAAAATTACTCAGCATTAAAAAATAAGGAAATTTTGACCCATGCTACAGTATCAATGAACCTTGAAAACAGTATGCTTAATGAAATAAGCCAATCACAAAAGGGCAAATATTGTATGATTCCTCATATATGAGTTTCAGAGAGTTGTCAAATTCATAGAGACAGAAAGTAGAATAGTGGTTGCCAGGAGCTGGGGGGAAGGGGGAATGTGAAGTTAGTGTTTAATGGGTATGGAGTCTCAGTTGGGGAAGACGAAAAAGTTCTGGAGATGGAAGGTGGTAATGCTAGTACAACAATGTGAATGTACTTAACGCCACAGGACTGCAGACTTAAAAATGGTTAAAGCGCTAAACTCTATGTTATTTATATTTTACCTCAATAAAAAGAAAGACAAATATAATTGTGCTTTTGTTTAGTTTCTTCTGGCAGCTAAAGAGAACTTCCTGTCCCTCTTTCCATAAGAACAAAATCAGGCCTTTTCAAAGAAACTTGACAATAGAGGCTACCTGAGCGCAAGAACGACAGCATTGGAAAGCTCTTATAACTCCAGGTGCTGTATCTGTTTATGTACACTATATAAAATTAAAAGCCTAAAAATAAAATCTTTAGAATTTAAATGTACTTTAAAACAATAATAGGGGCGCCTGGGTGGCTCAGTCAGTTAAGCGTCCGACTCTTGATCTCAGCTCAGCTCTCGATCTCAGGGTTGTGAGTTTAAGCTCTGCACTGGGCTCCACGCTGGGCATGGAACCTACTTTAAAAACAACAACAACAACAACAAAACCCCACAATAATAATCAATTCTTTTTGCCCAAGATTCAAGTAAAAAAAAATTTTTTTAAATAATGATACAATATGTATTTTTTCAATAAAAAATAAAAGCATCATATGTACCTTGCAGAAGTTGTATATTCTTACAAATTACTGTTTTTAGACTTTGGGATGTTAGTATGTAGTTTCATTTGAAAAACAGCTTTTAAAATATTTTCTCCTTTCTATGTAAATAGTGTTTTAAATTTTATAAAGTCTATTCACATACATTAAATTCATTTAATCCCTGACCTGAACTACTATTGCCACTTTATAGGAAGGGAAATTGAGGGGGAGTGTCATGAAATAATCCCCTGAAGATCAGGTTAAATGATTAACTACAAAGCTGAGACTAGAATTATTTCATTCCATTTAATACACTATTTACTAGGGAATCATTATAGCCGAGCACCATGCTAGGTAGAGGGGTATACAGAAATGAATTAGAGGCAGCCCCACTCCTCAGAGGCCCCAAACTAGGCCCCCATTCTAGCAGTTGGGAGTATGTTCTCACTGCTTGGGTAGGATGAGTCAATAATCCAGGGTAGTCCCACTGACACCAGCAGCATAGAAGGGTAGGTCCCTCCATCATTTTCTGTTGTCTACCCTTTCTGGGAGTAACTAACTCCAGGAAGGAGACATAGCAAGGAAGAGTCTCTCAAAAGATAAAACAAAAAGTCTCTCTCTGTATGAGAGGCAGGCAGGTAACAGAGCGCAATGACCAAAGAATCGACTCCTGAGTCAAGTTCGCCTGGGTCTGTTCCCCAGCCTTGCCTCTGACTAGTTGTGTTTCAGTTTCTTAACTTATAAAATGAGGATAATTACACTTCTAATCTTGTAAGGTTGTCATGAGGATTAAATGAATTGATATTTGGAAAATACTCAGAACAA